TTAAAGTTTCTTCAAGAAATTTGAAAAATTTATAAACTTGCCTATGTCAGATTTCATTGATCTTCACCTTTTACTTCCCATTATAGGCAGATCGGCAATTAAATGAAATTAAAGATATTTATAATTTTAATTTTTATTTCAATATTTACGTAAATGCTATTTAAAATTTTTCTTCGTTTATCTTATGATTTACGTATGATTGACTTTGTGATACTGATACATTACATATTAATTGATTCCTAGAAAAATTTTTTAATTGTATCCAAAAACGTTTAAAGTTCTTTAGGTTTATTACTGTATCACCAATGTATCACAAATGTTAAACCTCCAACTAAAGATACATTGAACGTGTACACTATAATAATATTGGCGCTCAGAAAATATAATGAATTTTATAAATTGTGTCTGAAAAAGTAAAACAAAAGATAAGAATTTTAACAAAATGGATTGATTAAAAATTTTATTTTTATCATGAAACACTAAATGCGTCCCACTGAGATGACAATGGGCAATGGCGCATAAGAACCTAATCCAATATAATCCTTTTTAGCTTAAATGAACTTTAATCATTTGTAACGGATTTAACACCAATCCAGTCATATTCAAATAATCTATAACTATTTAATATTGTTCTTACCTATTTATTAGTCACAATATATTTGCTCAAATATATCTTAGTTTTAAAGTCGTAACGCGTTCCTAATTATGATCATGTTACACATCATTGTATCTAAATTTGTAAATCATTTATTCCAATTGTTTCAAATTATTCCATTTTGACCTGTTATGGATTTAATTTTATTAATGTTTATAGAAAATCTGGTCCAATCAAATCACAATGATAATTCAATATAAACGAAAATCAAAAGAAACTTGGATCAATTATACCGTAACCGAAGAAGTTTATTGTTTTTAAAAAAAAAGTTCAAATGGTGTTTCATCGCTCTAACCATTCTTTTCAAAGCTGAATAATTGAAAATTTATAAGCAAATATTGTTCTACCGCCATCCAAATGGATCTAACGAAAATCGGATTCGGATGTACAATTGAAACATCAAATCAATGCGTTACAAAAAAATTGTAGATTAAATTTCTAATTTTAAAATACTTAACGTCGAGACTTTACTTTTTCCAGTTTAGGTCGACTAATTCGAAAACATCTATAAAATGACTATGATTTGGAGCTTTTTTCTTGAATTTATTTCTACTAGATGATTAAATATCAAAATATCCTTTCTATTAATTATTTACATTGATTAATTTTTCTCAAATAAATATACCATTATTATTTATATTGATTCTTAAATAAATACCCTTATAAAAATCTTTATTGATTTACAGATGTCTCAATCTGTAGAATTAAAAGAGTTCTATCGACGAAAATTTAAATAAAATGATCGAAGAAATCATTAAATTTTCTCTTGATGAATTTCTAGAACAAACAGACCTCTTAACTCCTTTATGCTTGCTATATTGCAAAGATCGCTCATTTGTAATAAAAGATAACCATGAGAAGATTTTAAATCTTTATTACAGATGTAGGAAAGAGAAGCAAAAAGTATGACCTATACGAATGGGAACAGTCTGTCTCATGCTTTTATAGAATAACATTTGAACAAATATTTAAAATATATTTATTTTTTATGAAATGATGATACTATTAGTTTTATTTTTTATGAAATGATGATACTTTTATTTTTTATGAAATGATGATACTTTTATTTTTTATGAAATGATGATACCATTAGTTTTATTTTTTATGAATGATGATACCTAACTATAAACAAAAATTTATCTATATAATATCTAGTATATTATATTTACTAGATCATAGCTAACAAATTCACTTTTATCTAATACCTTTATTTACTATTCTGATTAAAATATTTTGATTTAAACAAAATGGAATTTACCTCCATCTAATACTTTAGAAATCATAATTAGATAATAACGTATCATCTATAAAGTGTTATATTGAGTATATTGAGTATCTTGAATCTTAGTATTTTCACTATTCTAAAGTTAGCTATATCGTTCAAATGATTGGATGAAAATGGGCTTACGTAGTGGCCATTTTCACCAATCAATAAAGGGCCCTGTGACCGAGTGTACGCAATATTATGAAAATTGAACGTCCACGTGAATTTCTCACATGAACGTCATCCAACGAATTTCAACTTTTAGTTTTATCTACGCTTTATTTAAACTTTTCCTATAAAATTTTCATTTACATCATATTTTTTTACTCCACTTTATTATATCATTGATGTGTATTATAATAGAAACATCGATCTATGAATGTCAATAAATGTTACTTAGTACTAAATCTAAAATGAACGGCACAAAAAAAGACATAAATTAGGAAATCATTTATAGACTATTCGATATATTTCCTCTTTTACAATTTAGCAGATACTCAAATAGCTGTAGTTGCACGGTCATTAAGTTATTGCAATTTTCAATATGTCTATTTTTCTAGTAACTATATAATAATACCAACATAAAAGTTATGTTTAAACCATTCAGAGACGATCATACATTTATTATTACATAAATTGTTAAATGAAATTGGTTTCACATTAATAAAAAAGAACTCTATAAAAATATTCTAAATAAAATGTATACAAAAATGTAGAATGATAAAGTGTAAAATTCAATTTTTTTGAGAATCTAGTCTATATAATTTTTTCGCAAACAGGGATTATTCTTTTTTTCACATCTATGATTTTACATTCTTATATTTACTAAAAATTAAATTGTTAATTTCTTTTTCCAATATTTTCCCCCTTGTGCCTAGAATTCATAACTTTTCTTTCGATTAAAAGTTGTGCCATATCTTTTAGTCCAAACTGGTGATATGAGTAAAAAAATTCATGTAGTCAAACATTGGTATTCTTGTCTTGGATATTTACCCTTTCTTGAATTATTTCATCTAGTGCTATTCCTATATCTACTACTTAATGCAAACTTGACATAACATGCGGTTGTTATTTTAGGGAACTTCTTCAACTTTCCCTTTATTAGCAGTGCCATGCGATCTATCCTGTTCAAAAGTAATCTTAAGATAAGTCTTTGTCATTCTTCTCTTCTTTTTCCATATCTGATTACTTTTAACACTCGTCCTCTTCTTACACGGTCCTTTATATAATTAAAGAACTTTCTTCAACTCCCGTATTAATTCCCCACCGAGTTTAAAAAAATTTTATATAAACGGGCTGTACATTAATATTATTTTTGACTACTTTAGTAAAAAATTTCTCGAAATATCAGTTCTAAAATAATTCTATTAGTCCTATTAATTAATCAAAAAAAAATCCGTATTTTTTTTCAAAAGGCAAGTACTCTCAACATTGAGTAGGATGCCTTTTTTTTGCATAAATCTGAGATCATCCCCGTTGTTATATCTTTATCCTTTTCTTTAGAATGCTGTTGCACCATATGTTTTCTAATTCATTTACTTAATTGATCGGTTGACAATTATCCAGTTGCTCTGATGGCATTGTTTGTTTCATGACTTTAGATTCGAAGTATTCTTGAATCGATAATTCATCTATTATTTAAGAGTATCTTAATTACTGTTCCCGAGAGAACTGCTTCCTTTCTCAGCGCGTATAAACATTTGCTTCTAGGATTTATTTCTTTTATTTAATTGCGTACCCTTGATATTCCTGTACTTTACATTATTATTACGCAAGTGATTACGCTGCATGCAATTAAACAAATTCTACATAAACAATATTGGTCTTTTGTAGAAAATTTTCAAGTTAAAGCATATTCTGTTAGATCGTGTCGTTTAGCACACTCTGCTGTTAAAAATCCTACTAGTTCTTTTTTTTTTGATGTCGTAAATCGAAAAATCCCATAATTGCAGATCAGTTCAATAGCTTCGTTGGCTTTATCCTCCTTAAGCGCCATGACCATCTTTCTGAAGGTCGAATACTCAAGTACTCAATTGTTACGATCTGGCGGTTCATTGGATTAAAAATAATTACATCAGTCTACAAGAAAAAGAACAAAAACATGTTTATTAATAATGTACTTTTTAAGTAAATAAATAAATTAATTAAATAAATTGAAGTTTGAATGTTTCCTCAATCTTATTAATTATTCTTGGGAATGAATAGCTTTGTGCTTTACCTGTCTCTTATACACATCTAGATGTGTATAAGAGACAGGTTTTGATTTTTTGTATTCTCTATTGTCTCTTTTGATGTTGAGAAAGTACGCGTCATAATTGAGCGTTCTTGAGGGTTTGCATTTTCTATGATTATGTTGTGAATTATTTCCCTCCCCCCCTTTTCTACAGCCCTTACCAGTTTCGATCTCGATTGTTGATGTCTACCAGAAACCTGTTATCATATATCTCTACATCTGAAATAAAGGATTGTTCTTTTTTCTTAGTCATTTGCGGAAGTCCCCAATATGCCACCATTCTCTAAGATGAATGTCTTAAAATAGTAGAGTTTAGATCCGTATGAGTTATCCATAGACATGTATCCATAATCTAAATTCAATATCCGCAATCCATGCAAAAATTAAGTCTGTTTAAAGAAAAAACTGACGGATATTTTTGTATCCATATTTTCATGTATAGAACGGTAATACAGATAACACGTATTATTCACTATTGAAGTTGGTAATGACCCTTATGTAAGGGTCTTTCGTGCGCATATGGTCATTTTATATTATCGTTCTCCTCACAATATCAGATTATCAAATATTTCACTAAATATTAACAAAACTAATGCCTCCAGTTTCTAAAAGCAAAAAAAAATATATTAATCAGTATTGTCATTCTTAAATATATCTCCTCCCCTATTTACCTAAAAGTCCGTTCCAAAAATCCAAAAATCCAAACTGTTATTCCATTTTACATTTTTTGTTTGTAAAAAAATTTCACAGACCATATGATGTCATTATGACGACATTGTCGGCCAATTAAATTATAATCACGTGATTTTGACAGCAGGTATGTTGGTAGATTGTCTATTCGTAAAGATATGAAATTTCATGCTTCATACAACTTACTACAAGCATTAAAAATTACCACTATTTTTGTCAGTATCGGTTATGCTTTTATTATCGCTGTTTTCAATGAACAAAGTACTAAAGTATTAATGTTAAAAGAAGAGATCGAGGGATCGGAACATTCACTCTCAGAAAATATGTACATTGATCTTCGAACTTTAATTATGTTAAATTTCGGTGATTTGTTTATACCATCTTTAAAAGTTACGACAAAGTTATCAGAAGGTAACCATAAAGATATAATGCAGTGCAAAAATATAATATGACACAGGTAATTTTTTATAGAATATTATTCATTGAATTTCAATATTTACTTTTAGAGTATAATTAATGAAAGATAATTAAAAAAAAATTTGTTCAGATACTGAATTCTATTAGAAGGAGTTGGAGATCAATCCGAAATTTTAAATTCTGGATTCGTACTTTTAAGATCACTCCCGCTAAAGTAATATTTGTATGATTATTGCCATGATATAATGGATATCGCTGCATAAGACGCGGATGAGTGTCTTGTCCGTGTTAAATAGAGCTGCTGAGATTGTCTGAACTATCATGTAAATGTTAATTATTAGGTGAATAATTTATTTTTATTTGTTGAATTTTATTAATAATTTTTCATAAAATAGAAACTCAGGCTTAACAGTGATTATGATGGTCAATCAACATAGCAGAATTTCCATTCATCGATAAAATTAACTATTTATTACAATTACCCATTCATTACATTTCTATCATCATCATTATCTTATTCGGTAATAACGGTAGAGTATTTGTTCTTTTTCTTGATGTTTTACAATCGAATTGACATTATCACTTGCATCATTTACATAATATCATCATTTACATAATATCAGTACGAAATCAAGAGGGGTTGATGGGCGAGAAGTATTATAACCGATAGGTTTGAAATTACGTGTTCATCGAAATTCTGATTTAAAGTTGATGAATATTTGAATTATAATATTCGATCACACACGAAAAAAACATCAATTCATTATTTAAATACAAGATTCAAAGAATTGAACTGTATCTGTGTAAGTAAAATTCTTTTTTTTTCCAAAGAAAAACATATAGGTATTTTAAAAACATCACTAAAGTAATAATTGATTTATTTCAGTATTATGTTGGGTGAAGAATTCTTCACGAATCACAAATATGCAACGATGATTTAGGTGGCAAAATTTTTTCAACACAAATTTTATAGCGTAATTTTAGCGCCTTAATTGGTTTTAATGGTTCAAATTTTTTTTTTAGTTTTTAGTTTGATCTCCCTTTAATAAGACTTATTAACGTTTTAGAGTATTATTGATAGTAACAACCTTTGAAATAGCAAGTAGTAAATAAAAAGAACATAAATTTTTTAATTATTTTTTTTTATAATTAGTGTAATTATAGCTGCTCATACTAGTTATCAGTGGTAAAAATTGAGATACTATATTAAGTTGTTATTTTGACAACTTATTATTATTTACTATAGTCATGTTTGTCGTGTCATGACGCGTTGATGCGTTTTTACGCGTTTATTGGCGCGTGATCAAGCCTTTATCAGGTATTTAAACAATTCGTTTTTTCTTTTTTACCCCTTTTCCCCCACCACTTTTTTGGCAGTCTCGCAACTTGTTTCATATCTTTTTACTACTACAAAAGAAATTCATAATTTGTTTCCGGTAGTTATTTTTCTCCTTTTATCATATATATTATATATATACATGTTCCAAAAGAAATTCGCAACTTGTTTTTGGCGGTTATTTTTCTTTTTTACCACTCAAAAAGAAATTCACAACTTGCCTTTAACAGTTATTTTTCTCTTTTTACCAATCAAAAAGAAATTCTCTCGGCAGTTTTTCCTTTTTACCGCTACGAAAGAAATACAATTATGTCTACTCTTCGTCAACGCAATGCACTTAGAAAGCTCGTTAATCCCGGCCAATCTGATGAAGAATCTAATCAATCGGGCCAATCTGGCCAATCTAGTCAATCTAACAAAAATAAAAGAAAAAAAATAAGTGCCAGAAAGAATGAAGTATTAGTACGTGTATTTTTTCCTTTTTTAAGCCAATTTATCGCCTTATCTTTATTAGTTTATCTTTCTTCAAATTGAATTAGGTTTATCTTCACCGCAAGTTCTTTCATCCAAAACCAGTATACGTAAAAGTAGACAAAAAAAAAGCAGCTGAAAGGAAAGAAGCTTTACTGGTGAGTCAAATTGGGAACCGAACACTTTAATTATTTACTCTAATATAATGATTTTATCTAAATAGAAAATTTTAGAAGAATTTCAAGAGCCCGAGGATAATAAATCAGAGAGAAAAAGCAAGGAGAATAAAGTATATTTACGGTCCTTTGATACCTTTCCCTATCCGGTTCCCCACAAAGGAAAAGGCAAAGATAATAAATTAAAATTACGATCTTCTGGTACCATTCCATATCCGGTTTCCTCCGAAGGAAAAGACAATGATTATAAGATAGATTTATGGTCTTCTTCTAGTACTTCTAGTACCTTCCCTCGTCCGGTTTCCTTTAAAGGAAAAGGCGAAGATATAAATTAGAATTACTGTAGTTTAAAATTTTTTCTGACAAATTTTACTATATAATTCGCAGGGCGCGGTTTTATACTATCACGTGAAATTTATTTATACAGTTTACAGTAGGATTGGTACGATATATATTCAAAGACAATTATACATTTTTGATTGATTTTTTTATTATTTGTATTTGAAAACGAAAATTTAAACATTTAATTAAAATTTAATTAAAATTAATACAAATAAAGAATACGTCTGGAATGGAAACCATAATATTATATTAATATTATATTTGTACTAGTTGTAACTTGTTGCCTCGCAGGCTGTAATGCTGGCCGGTCTAAAGATGTTTGATGTATATTAAAAAATTTTATTTGTATATACCTAATATTTAACTGAATATACCGCTGTATATTAACTTGGGCCAATCCAATTTAACTACGTGTTTAACATAACCCCTTTCAAATTTAGAAAAAAAATCCATCTATTAACAACAGCTCTATTGATATGAAATTTTTTTACAGTGTTGAAACATAATGTTGCACTTGACGCATATAGACAAAGGAATTATGCTCGGGTAAATCATGGACTCAAGTAAATCGGAATTGAAGTTCGTGATTAATTTAGCAATAAATTACCTATTTTATCTAGAAGGGATGTGTCAGAAGTTACACGTAAAGATCTGCTATATAATTGGTGGATTACATTTATCAATAGGTGATATAATTGATCCACATCTCGCACTATTCTGTTACACAAAGAAGTTACATATGAAAAACTGGTACAGCCTAGATAGAATATTTCTATAAGCTAATAGAAATGGTTACAAATATATAATATATTTTAAACACGTCAATAATTCAATGAATAAAATACGTAAATCATTAGAACCTGCACGGAATGGAATTAATAATATTATTGTTAAAATTATTGAAGCTTGTAATCGATTGGATTCTATCTATAATGAATTAAACAATGCAATTTTGGATTTGAATGATCATGGCTTCATGGGTATATTTTATCTTCCAAAATCAGGAATGTAAAGATATTGTTTTATTAAAAATTTAGAATTGATGACCGTTCAGAAACATAAAATGCACAAACTCTTGTACCTCATTTTTTTTTACACGCCAAATGCAAAAAGTATGCTTTAAAAAGTAGGTTTTATTTAAAATTTTTACTATATTTCATTTTTTTAATTAAATTTAAATAAATTTTTTTTTCATTTAAGTATTCGTTGATTGCTAAAGTTTACTCCAGCTTTATTGCGTAACTTATATTATGATTTAACTGGAGATGCAACTATAGCATCAAATAACATCACAAAAGAATTGGGTTATCACTCTAGGATCCTAATATCACAGTAGATTTACGAATTAATAATGGATTCAAGGGCATCATTTTGAATTTTTGGGAAGAAGTTGAATCTTACTAATCTTACTTTAATGAGATAACCAATAAAACCATTTAAATATTTATTCAATATATTAATTTAATTTTTCTAATATTTTAATATGTAGAATACACCTGTGGACTGTGGTTCTACTCTTTGTATGCCGCATTCAAACACACTTTCTAATGTAACACAATTGTAAAACGATCACATGTTAGTGCATATAGAATAGGATCGACATTTATTTATACATGTACACGTGATAAAGTGTCAATTAAAGATTTACGAGAGTTAATATTATCCCGATTGCAAAATAGAATTGGGAATCCTTTTCCTTCGGAAATTAATTTCCTAGTGATGAATGGATTTGTGTTCAGTTTACAACAAAAAATACTTTAGCGTATTCAGCAATTAATTATACCAGAAAATTTAATATTAAATACAAAGTTAAAGGCTTCAAGCACGTTGGTTAAGAAAAGATCATCCAGATAATCATTTTTCGTAATTTACGTGAATTTGCTATTAAGTATCGGAAGTATACGGTTTATCTGTGCTGATGATAAACATAAATTAGCAATTGGTGAAGAAGTTGCCACTTCAACTGGTATTCGTAATAGGAAACCATTAATACCTGATAGTACAGTTTTTGCAGAGAGTGATCATGACTTTACAAAACTATCTTTAATACCTTCAGTAATACTTTTATGCAAAACACCATTTCAGAATCATTTTATCATGGAAATGTATATACTCTAATCGAAGACGAAGTTACAATGTCAATTGATTCAACATTACGTTGTGATGAAACTACACAATCATTACTTCGGAAACATTCTGATTTACAAAAAATTTTTTATATTTATATTTTCATTTAACTAAAATTTATAGTGTTTAAATTTTGTGTTGATTAGTTATCTCCATGCCGGGCCTTATTAAATAAATTCTTTTTAATCTGTGTTACCGTAAAATGTAAATAATCACTTGATCTAATTATTTTAAATTGTGCAGATCGCATACCGCATACGTTAATGAAAAGATTTACAACGTACATTGTGTACAATTGTATACATTGTGTTGTGTAACACTACAGGTGTACATTGTGTACATTGTGTTGTGTAACACTACAGTAGAAATCAGTTTGGATAGAAAAAAATTTATTCTTTATTTTTTTTTTTTATTATTATTATATTTCACAGTAACCATTAAAAAACGCCAAAACTATTTGGATTGGATTGGTTCCTCATAGTCTTAGGGTGCAAATTCAATTGGATTGGATTGAGTTGACGCCCTCAATCCTATGATACAAATTACAAAATGAGCATCCATTTGGTCATGGTTTAGTCCATTTACCACTACTATCACTTGTCAATTCACTTATGTGAGAATCTAATCTAAATCTAATAGGATCGGCATATCCAAATTCAATTGGATTGGATTGCAGGATTGCATTCACAAATTACAAAATTGATCAACGGGATCCACTTGTATCCAATTCAGGGTATACACTGTACTACATCATCTACAATTGTGGAGATCGTAATCGGATTGTAACGTAGTACATTAGTGTATGCGTTTATTGTGTCTCTATTAACGCCAAATCCCATTCATATTCAAAGAATACAAAATTGACCAACCGGGTCAATTAGTCCAGTATGCCTATACTGTACTACTACACTATTTACAATTATTGGACATGGATTCAATCTAAATGGATTGGCGAATCCAATCCAAATGGATTTTGTTGATCAATCCAACTCAAATCAATTTTTGTAAATTTGTAAATATGAATTCGATCCAATTGCGCACCCAATTAGTCATCTTTACAGAATTTCATTCGAAGATGTTCTTTATTTTATAATTCACTCTTTAGAAAAGTTTCGAACAATATATGTAACTGGAGTGCTACGGAAAGGAGTATGGTCGGGTCAGCGTGATAAGTACTAAGTAGAGTATGGACCCTATGTGACAGTTTACTCAAGTGATAAATAACACGATTGGCCAAACACGTGATTCAGAATGAGCTAAGTCGCCGAAATGCTATTCGTGGTCACCATTTATGTTACGCACTCACCGCTAAATATCGCCATACCTCATCACGCCGACCTGACCATACTATAAATTCCATTAAAATGATACATTCACGGAAAATTTTACAGGGAATCAAAATTCAAAATTATATTGGAAACTTGACATATCTTAACGAATTATCATTAGAGATGGGGAAGTTCCAAACAGAGCGGTTCCGAACCGGTTCTGGAACTGATTCTAATTTTAGCAGATTCTGAACTTGAAACACTCTGGGAACTGTTCTAAAAATCGAACCGGAATCGGCTCCGAACCGGTTCGAAGGAACCGCTCCAAATCGGGTTGTCATCAAAATTATGACGATCACGGACCAACCATCGTTTGATGACCAATCAAAATTTTCCTAATCGATCTTCATTGCATGGTCTACCTGCGTCTTAAATTTGACGCATGTAGCTCATATTTTACTTAATGAGAACCGAAGCGGGAACCGACGAAGAACCGAAATAAAGCCGACGAACCGATCCCCATCCCTAATTATCATCAGCTAATTATTGCCAACTCTCAAATGATAGACGATCACGTAAGGCTAACGAGCTGCATTATTTTTTTTTCAGCATAGATACAATAGCCGAAGTCATGGAATCTACTATTTAGTTAAACTGTATTAAACCACAAGTTAATTGTATATAAAGAATCCACTTTTTTCTGAAACTAACCAGCTTTGTAGAAAAAATTTCGATCGTGATCGCTATTGATCATTTCAATATCATTATCATCAAGATTTTTGAGGAAACTTTAGATTGAGATAAAATAAAAAAGAGTATTAAAAAATACTATTAACTATCTGCTTAAAGATTCTAATATAAATTCAAAATATTTTTATCACTTTTTTTAATAAATGATACAATCCTTTTCAATAGCGTTCAAATAATTTTATATAATATTTGAATAGTATAGTTAAAAAAAAATAAAAATATATACATAATATCAAATAATATTAAGTAAATAAACTTATTGAAACATTCCCCTGTAAAAAATCTGATCCGTGTTTTATCTTTCCATGCTTTTTCCGTGAATGTATCATTTTCACGGAATTTTTACGGAAGACACGGAGAAATAATGGAAATATTTGGATAAAAATTTTTTATAGGGTTCCCAAAATTAAAATTTTTAAAATTTTGATTTAGTATACAAACTAAGTATCTGGACTTAGTTTTTTTCGTTAGTCAAAATCCTATTTGTAGTCATCACTGTGTAGTGTGTTGCAGAGATCCATTTTTATAATAAATGAATAAATCGGAATTTTTGCTGTATTATGGAATAAAACGGAATTTTTATGATTTTTAATAAATTTATCCCGACACGTGACAACTTTTTATTGACTATATCGTGATAGAATTTATCATTTAAATCGTTTTTGGCTAAAATTATTGTCGTGTCATTAGAGCAACCTAAGTTGGCCTGCATTAAGATGTAAGCCAGCTAGAATTATCAAATATTTCTTACTATAATTGGTAATTTTTTATCGGAATAAAATCGGAATTTTTTCCGTTATCGTGATAAAATAAATCCGGATATCTGCTGTGTTGTTTTCCACGTTCACGTGATGGGACTGGTTGGGACGTGTTTAATTAGTAAAATCTATTTTTCGAAGATGACTGCTCAACATTTGAGTCATGACTCATAAAAACTTATAACAAAAATTAATTGCATCTTAATTTATTGAAACAAGAGGTTCCTAGCAAATTATATACACTATATCATCTACTAAAACCATTATCCCATTAAATATTTAATAGTAAAAAAAAAAATTTTTTTAATAACTCATTATAATTTATAAAGCGAACAAAAAAAAATCGTGTGACCCAAGTAATTTTAAGCGAATCACTGGACCGCATGGTCCGATGATCCGGACCCAAATTCACATGACTGTGCTAAAAATTGACATTTGATTATTGATTATCAATTAGATTGTGATCGGTGGCTTAGAATTAAATGATTGACATTCTAACTGTTTATAGCAATGTTTTCGTCACCTCAACGTTCGTACGTCAGCTGCTTGTGCAGTTGAACGAACTCACCTTGAAAAGATTGTTCAACTGAATATTTAGTGATAATGGAAATAATAACTACTTGATTTACAGTTTACCGTTTTACTGGTACGCGTTATAACTACTAGTCATTTACTTTTTCCGATTCAAATTTCTATTGATTGAGCATATTTTATAAAATGGTTTGCAGAACAATAGATCCTATTTGATATTCGCCTTTGGATCCTATAAAGACATGTTGCCTGGAAATTCGTAAAGGAGCTTGGCAAAGTCGAATTTGAAAATCTCCTAGGATCTCTGTTTTAATAATTAAATTACTAAAGAAATCTTAACAAGGATCAAATCACATCAAATTTCACGCGATTTACTTTACAGTCTGGATCTGTAAATCGGTCCCGTTCGCAGAAAAGACGAAATGCTTTTGGAAAATGAATGTCCTTAATTTCCAAAATTCTAGAAAAGGTGATTTGGGACAGGCCTCTATGACAAATATCTGTTTTGAGATGACAATCGACAATAACTGATTATGCCGGAACTGATTATGCCGGATCCCCTGTTTTAACAAGAATATAGAATGAAAGTATATACATTATTACTAATGTGAAAATTCTTTACGAGATTTTAATCAAAAATTTCAAATTATATAAATACTACTTATCAAATTAATTCCACCTATGTCGATATATTTTATCAAATTGAAATGGCTACTTTTGATGGATCTTCTGTTAGAGCCGCCGATTATAATTCAAATTCTCAATGCAGGAATGCTTCGTTCCTTTCTGCAGTCAAGTTTTTCTTCTCGCTTGTAATTTTTCTAAATGCCAATAGAGGTTTTCGGAAAAAATCTGTCGAATTACTCACCTTAACGTTGGATCAGAGTTGGTATCATCATTGATGAGGTTCGAAGGAAATTAATCTCAGTTCTTGTTTAAATATGATAGTGTGAATTTTTGGTCAACGAGCTTGCAGAGAGAAATCTTTTACACATTGCTCTAGATTTATGATAATATGGATGGTTAATTTAGGAGATAATACTTCAATGTCTATTAAGGAAGGATATACCTCAAAAATGACTTTTCTCGTGGCTTTGGTTACAACATATCGTGATCTAGATTTGCATAGATACCAGCTTCGATACTGCATGTAATCATAATAATCACCAAACAATGTTGATGAGTTGATGATCTTATTCCTAGTCTTAAACACTTTTAGTTGTATGTATTCAAAGAGCATAGAATGTCGTTGCGCGTTCAGCTGCAACTTCTAAGCATAAATTGAACCAATAGTTATTAGCCGATATCAGGATGGGTTATGGTTCTTTCCTACGAAACCATTGACGTCTTATTCTTCGATGAATGTAAGAGTCCATTCTTAATTACAAATTCACCGCACTTACTTGCAGCTTTGAAAAGTTATATCAAATTACTTGATGCACGTGGACTTGTGTACTCGCATTTGGTGTAATGAGGTTCGCCAAGCAATAGAGTAAAAACCTAAGCCGACAAGAATGCGTGGATCATATGTCGTAGAGACAAGAGCGATTTGTAGGTTTACCATCTCAATATATTTGCCGAGTAACGTAAAAAATATGGGATTTGCTGATGTTAGGTTTGGCTTTTTTTTTACAAAAAAGGTATGCTATTTAAATATTTGAATATAATGTTGAGAATTTTTTTTAGTCACAATATTCACAAAGGAAAATGCGTTAATTTTACTTTAGATGCATAAAATTCTGCCACAGAATTCAAGGAATCTAATTTTGTTGATGTAGGTTTGGTTTCGTAAATTCTTTTTTTCTTATTTATTTATGGTTTTTTTTTTCATGTATTTTTTTTTCCTAAGATCAAACATTAGATCACTAACTAAGCGAAAAAATGACATTTTAGTGCTCAATATTGGTTATTTTATTTCGCTAAAGCTTGGATAGGAGGAAAGATACGAATCATTATTTCAATATCTCCTTAAACAGCTAATCTCGAAATATAAGGATTTTTATTAACATTGCCGAGTGAAATTGAAGATTCACATGCGCTATATCACAGTATCCCGTACGAGAGAGACGTCTGGGCATGAAGTTGGATTAGTAACACATGCTTATGATTCGAGGTTATGCATTTTAATTTTAAAGAACGAAAAGAACGCGATTTATTCGCTGCGACCCTATTCGTGAAACGGAACAGAAACAGCAACCAAATTTGCTACGCCACGTGACCGCTAAGCTCGTATCAGACGCTGTCTGGAAATGAAAAAAACATTATATTGTCAACATTTCTAAAGGTAGGAGGACTATGATTTAATATGTAACAAAAGCGTTCATTATATTATTTTATTTATTTTTTTCAATATACTATTTAGTGATCAATTTATTTATTTATTCTCCAAATTTTAATTCTTAATGCGTTCCAGCGTATAAAATCTATTCTAAATTTGCCGGATTTTCCGAAAGATTCCTTGTAAAACCGGAAAGATTTTAGATTCCAGAAATTTTTTTGGATATGGCATATTATATTTCCAGGAAATTTTAATAGTACCGGAATATATTCAGTGAATATCCTTTTTTTTTTTAATCAAATTCGGAATTTTCAATTTATTCTGGATTTTTTCCGGTATTTTCTTAGAGATTTTTTTTACACTATTCAACTTCAAAGTCGTTCTGAATATATTATTTTATAAAAACAAGTAATAGGTGAGTATCAATAATTATTGATATTATTTTATGTGCACAATTGCATTTAGTAAAACTATTGTTAATGAAACACACATCTTATGCAAATAGGACAAGTATTAATTAGGATGAATCAAGGCGGTCGAAATCCATTAATAAATATTACAAATATAGTTAATTTAATATCAACGAATCTGATCCACTAGCAACAACTATCACGAAGCTTATACCCATAAATCATGAATTTGATTACCTTTATCAACAATCAAACTAAAATCACCTGTAAAACAAGTGCATCAAAAGCTAAAAAATAGAATAGGTGTATTAGCTAGTGAAAGTGATTCACCGGTAAGAGTAGGAATTATTTCATGCAACCGTGAATTTTTGAAGGCCATGAAGGTAAAATACCTTAAACATTACATTAGCATTAAATGATTAATGACATATTAATTAGGATTTATTTTAATATAGGTGGTGGTGATATGATTTAAAAATGTAAAATTATATTGAATGAGTTAATTGAATTTCAAATTAATTGCGATTTCTGTTGCTATTAGGTGGTACACTTATAAGTACTGCGTGTTGCGAACGTAATGACAAATAATTTTTGTGAAGATGGTTTTTTAAATGAGAATGGCTTAAAAATTAATTAACAAAAGGAGAATAGAGGATTATCAATTTCTGGTAAATTATCCAAAATTGTTTTGTGATATATGTTGATTACAAACATTAAAAAAAAAATATTTTTTTTTTATACAATTAATAGGGATTATTACAAAACCTACAAAACCGTTTAAATGATCCATTGTCTTATCAATAGATATTACTTCTAATTCAATTTGTGTTGATGGTATATCATTCATGCTTTGTGGTAGGCATACGATTCATATGATGTATATATAAATTTATATATATAAGATATATTAATATGTGATTTACGTATAATTCTTTACAATAGATTAATCATTAATGCAAGAGAAATTATAAATTGACTAACAATAAGCTTTATAGAAAAATATGGATCGTGATCCAGCATGACTTATTTTGGCAACAGACATATAAACAGAAGTTTAAGGAACAATAAAAAACTTACCAAGCAAAAGAATGAAAGCTAAAGGATAAATAATCAAAGGAAAACAATACATCTGAAATAAAGATGGTTTATTCTATCTTATCATGTCTATGGCATAAAAAGAAGTCTTTTCGGAGGACCTAAACCCATGGGAACAACTTAAATCAGAATACTCTAAATCAGGAAAGCGAAAATATCTTAACCCTTTATCGCATATGAAGGTTCAATGGCTCAAGAACATTTTGAAGATATTGTATTATCTCAACTCTTTATAGATGAAAGTCGAGATTGTACACAACAAACTCAAGTGAACACACTGTATTTTCAATACACCATCATACTTGATAAATATATATCATTATGATTATCAAGTTTTTAAATATGGGTGAATGATTTTACAGATTATACAGATTATACTTAATGGAATATATTGATGGGCGAGTCCAGTAACATTAGTAGGGAAGAAGAGTGGAAATTACAGATTTTGAATTGATTATAGAGCAGTGAATAAGGTTACAATCAGAGATGCCGAAATTTTCTTAATGAATCAAGTTTTAGATATAGGCTGTGCTTGTTCATTGTAATTTGCAGTGGTAGTGGTGTTGCGTTGGTGGCGGTGGTGGCGGTGATATTGGTATACGGATTAATACTATAATAAAATATTCAGCTGCTTCCGGGTGGGATCTCATAATTTAAAAGACCGAACAATACAGTATATTGTAAAACTACTAACTAACATTGATGGTTGAACAAGTTTTTGAATTATTTTTCAATAATAATAAGAATTATACCATCTTGAATTTTTTTGATCAGTTGATCAAAACAAATGCGTTATCTAATAAAAAAATTTCAATGTTATATACTGTGGCTCTTTTTATGAAAATTGATTATTTTATTTTATTTTTAAACAGAATAAAAATAATTTTCACATTTAAGTCGTCCGATCGATAAAAATAACTTTTTTATTTGTAATCAATTTTAGCCAAGTCGGTTGATTCGATAATTAATCAAGATCCTGTATTGAACTTTTTTAAAGAATTAATCAACTTTACAAATAAATCATTTAGACTTCCTTGCGTACCTATCAAAGAAATGTCACGAAATGACCGGATTTATGGCATTTGGTTGGAATTAAGTGTAGCGTATATATGTGTGACGAATAAATTATCTACCATTGAAAAATTCTAAGTCCCCAGAACACTTGGTAAAAAATGAATAGCGGAAGGGTGTGACACATCAAATCACGCCAAATTTACTAAAGCTATTCGAAGTCTCATTACATATTAGTTGCACATTGATTCTAGACTATCTAAAATCAAAGCTCCCTCATTTCGATTCTGAATCCTTATCATCGTTCTGCGGTCCCTTCACAATTTTCTTCGTTCAGAAAATCAATTTTTTCGTATTACATTCTTCCGGAAATGTCCTGTAGGCATTTTGTTTATTAGTCATTTACTATATATTTTAATCGAATGTGATCATTTTCTTTTGGACACTCGTTCCTAATCTAGATGAATTTTAGACGAAGTATTGCGAAATCGTTGTCAGGTTAAAAAAAGAAAATAAAGGTTTATGTGTCCAGTTTTCAACCTAGTATAAGTCGACTTTGGGCGTGGCCATGAACAGGTGTAGAAACAGAGATGAAAGTAGACATAATGAATATTTATATTTATTGGCTTGGGCGAATAAAAAAATAGTAGCAAATGTTGAAAACTGAGGAAAGAGAGTTGTATAGAAGTTACGCCCAGTTGCAAATCAGTCATACTTATTCAGTGGCTTGGGGCGTTCGAATCATTGCCAGCTGTCAATATTATAATCGAACACGTGAATACATGTGGTTATGACATTTTTACCATTTTTACCGCAAACTTTATTTGTCAACAAAACCTAAACGAACAGCACATTACAAAATTAGATACTTAGATATTTCTCAAGTTCTTTGTTAATTTATAAATCTCTCCAAGTTCAAAGCCTACTAAGCCATTATATAATACAGTAACGTGATGACGTGTCACAATTCAATAAGCACCGAAGAGTCTTTTTAGACGGGGGTTCTTTTGAAACCCTAAGCATCCAAAATTTTTATGTATAAATATGTCCTTGAGTCTTGAAAAGTAGTCTTGACCCACAATTTGAAAAGTGGAAAAAAAAAATTTCGATACAAAAAAACTAAAATGAAGCTTATTTTCTTTTTACTCCTCTTGACTTTCTTTGCCGCCGTTACTAAGTAAAATTTCTTTTTTTGTCTAAATTTTGTAAATGACGTTTCGTTGCCGTTTACTATTTTCTTAACATTGTCTGAAACCTCAACCATGTCAGTTCCGAACTATTTGCTGCAGATAGAAGTGCTTCGGTTACAGTAATTAATAAAAGTAAAATTAAATTATGGCTCTCATCTTACGAATTAAAAAAAGGGGCATGGGAAACATACCCACCAGTAAGCATACATCCTTGGAGTAAGGGCCAATGGAAAAGCAAATCCGATAGTATCCTGACCGGGACAGAAGGCGGAACAACTTATGAAAGTGTTCATGGCAATTTTGGTTTTTATTGGTATGTTCCCTATTATGGTGCTAATCTCTATAATTCTAGTTGTCCAGAGAAGTATGAATGTAGTTGCTCGGGGGGAGATGGTAGTAATGCGGAAGTAACGTTTACTGTTAGAAAAATTTAGAAATCAATATATGTTTTCTTTTTCTTTGGATACAGAATATGTTCTAGTTATATATCTTATATTCAATAAAGCTGTATTTTACCCGAATAGGGAATTAAATTTTGTAAATGTTTGACGTCTGTTTTATTACTTTATTTATGAATTCGGACTCAACTTTACGTCAGCAGTCAGCACTCAGTATGTGTAACAATGATCGACTTTATTTAAAATAAAGCCATATAAATATGTATTTCTCATTCCTTTAATATTAATAAATGTTTTATATATGTATTCTCCAAAAGTCTGAAAAGAAAAATATATTTTGACAAATCACACTGCTTTTAGTGCTTTACCAACAATAATATCAGTGAATTGCCATTAGTGACAGTAAAAACTTTGATTATTATATAATTTTTAAAAAAAAGTTCAACTAAGGAAAGCTTACAAAGTTTATATTAATATTATTACTTAATTTTAAATGAAATTTTGGCACAAATTTTTTTATAAAATCTGTTGTTTAAAAAAATTATTATTAAATGCATTTAAAAAGTTGATCAATTAAATTGATACTCCTTAAAGTCATACCATTTTTTATATAAAAAAAAATATTTTGAATGGATACATCTTTTCATCTCAAATATCCTCTCATTATTAATATTGTGTAATTGATAAAGATAAACTAGTATATTGGTGGATTTGAATAATTTGTTTTAATATTTTATAATTTTAATATTAATAAAAATAATCAAATAATATATTATAGTATACTAGTATATTGTAAGTACAGTAATAAACAGAAAATAATAAAATAATTAATATATATATTAAAGCTGCAGAAACCTTTCAATTAAGCCATTAACTAGCATATAAAGGTTAAATCCACTTATATTTTGTCTTGGATAAAAAGAAAAATGAATATTATACTAGCTATTCTTTTTTTTACTTATACATTATATCATCATACAATTGATTAATATGAGAAACAAAAATTTTTTCTTATTACTTAAATGATAATCAGAATTTGGTTTATGAAGTTGAATTACTAATTTAACTATATAGACATATAATTTTATAAATATAACAGGCTTTTATTTTATTATAATATTGATTACTTTACTAATCATTTGTATATTTAATAAAATAAATAAAATAAAAAAAAAAGTGACATCTATTACTTTATAAAAAGTATTCAGATTTTATAATTTTATTTAGTAAAATATAGTAAATTATTAATTTTTAAATTATACAAAAAGTTTATGAATTTTCAGTAAATCTACCTGAAATTTTTTTTATTATTGAAGTTGATCAATTGTAGTTTTAAATATTTTTATTGTAAAATATAAGTAACAATTTTTTTATATGTTTCTTGCACTTTTATATATAAATTATTCTGTCTATTACTTTATAGATTTTACTGAAAATTCACAGATTTTTATGCAACTTGAAAATCACCAATTTTACTATATTTTACTAAGTAAAATTTATAAAATCCAAATACTTTTTGTAAGGTAGCATATAATAATTAAAACTAAATTAAAAATTTCAAATTAGATCTTGTAATTTTGCATATTTTTAATTAGATAATAATTTATCATAGTGATATGCATTTTTACTGGCTAAATTTTAAAATATTACATAAAACTTAAAAACATGATATTGCTTTCTTTTAAATTAAATAATGTTACAAAGAATTTAATAGCGCAAATGGCATATATATTTAAATATTTCAGACTCTTCTTAAACAATTTACAGAATAATTTGAATATTGGAAAGGTAATTCAGAAGTTACAAGTATATTAAAATTCCTTATTATAAAATAATAATATATTTATTTTATGTTTATTTTTATTTATTTAGTATTATTTCACTTAATACAACTGATTTTTTTTTTGTTTTTTTAAAAGTTTTTTTTTATAACAATTAACATAAATAAAAAAAAAAGCCAAATGTGCTGACCAATATTTTCTATAGAATTATAGAATAAAAGGTAAGTTTCTCAGTACTATATAAAATCCAAAGATTTTTCTTCCTTTTATAATGAACTAATATATATATATTATATTTCCATTTTACTTTAAGATGTTTTAAGTTTCATTAGTTTTATTACATTGAAAACTTTATTAAATAGAATTTTTCAAGATAAAATAGAAGAACTTTGAAGTGCTTGTTGGTAAGAAGTAGTATAATTTAATTTTAATTAGAATTTATAATTATTATAATATTGTTAATTTCTCAGTATATATGCATGCTAAATGCTAATCAAATAATTTTACATTCATTTAAAAGTTAATAATACACTTTAATTATTAGGATCAAAAATCATGCAAATTGAATTATTAGATGTAGAAAATTAGCAATCAAGATTAAGAATTGATCTTAAATTAAATGAATGTATTTGAAACGTATTTATTCATCATCCAGTAAACCAATTAATGCAATTTTTAATTCATCAGATAGACCTCATTCTCCTCTTTCAAACAAATGTAGAATCATCTGTCTAGCTTATATGTATATTGAGTTATTTACAATTTTATTTCAAGAATTGTATTTGATTTTAATTTTAGTACATTTGGTGGTTCATCAATTTGCCTCCGATTTTGATGAAATTTTAAATACAGGTATATCAATTTAACATTTATTAATTTGGATAATTTGATATATAGTCATTATGTACAAGTTACGTTAATTAAAATGTCATTACATATGAAAGTTATTACCGGTAGTAATAATTCAATTTTAATAAAAACTGATATATCTGATATACAATTATAGGATGAATTTTATTGGCAAAATTTGAGAATGTATTGATAGGTAATTTTTCAAAAAATCAAAACAACGGTATTTTATATCGTGTGATAAAATCATGTGCCCTCTGTTGCATGTGATTTCCGCAGTATAATTACTAGTGTCATCATTTTAACCTAATAACAATATAATGCAGTGATTTGTTGTACGTACTGATGAAAACGAGACTTACATATTGTTCTTGATGTTATGAAACATATCCTTTAATAGATACGTTAACCTTCAGTGCAACTGAGCGAAGCTCAATCTCGGTAGTTATTTTATTTTTCATATGTAATGTACTACGTGAGACAAATGAAATAAGACAACTGTGACCTCGGGTCACGGTCTCGTTGTTAGACACTTTTCAATGTATATTGTGCCATATGGTAGAACAAAAAATATAAACGTGACACTTTTTCTCTTTGCACAAATTCAAAGGTCATCAATGTCAAGTTCTTTAACACCATCATCACATTCTTCGTCTTCTATAGATAAATCTAAATTTCAAAACATGATTTTCGTTAAATCTTTACGGGAATATAGAATATTCATGTCAAAAAATACGTACTAGATGTTCCATTGAGTAAAGAATCGATATCAGCAGTCAACTCGATAACAGAATCGATAGGAATAGATTCGAGCTTGCTAAATACTTCTTTCGTTGCTGTGGATCTTGTTGCCAACATTCCCGATAGAGACTTACATATTTAATTGGAGTTCCATATATTGGCATCTCACGTTTGTTATTAGTGATAAGTGAGATCACTTGTTCGGGTGATTGGAAATTAAATGGTGGCTGTCCACTACTGATTTCCCACATAAGAACACCCAAACTGTATACATCAGATTTTTCATCAAGACAATATTCGTTTGAAATAAACAACTGGGGTTCCATGTAAGCAGGTATTCCACCAACAAATGATCGTGTATTATGATCAATCATCTCAGATAGTCCGAAATCTGAAATTTTTATTTTGTGTTGATGAACTAATATGTTATTAGAATGCTGAAAATATTACACATTAGTATTCAGCATAATAAAATCCGTTCTAGTTGATAATATCTCCCAACAAAAAAAAATCCAAATCTCAAACTTACAAGATCCCGGTGGATAATTTTTTTGTCGTGAATCCAGAGGATGCCTTTGGTGATTTCTTGTGCGAAACGAAGCTTAACAAACCATGTTAAGTCTTTGTTGTATTCAAGATACTCTCGCAAGCTCCCCCATCAGCATATTGTAATACCATTGCAAATTGTTGATTGTTAAGGTCTATTTTATCAATTCGGTAAATACGATGAAATAATATGGTAAAAAAAAAAGATTCGGAATATAGTAGCTTACCTTGCGCCATACCATAAAATGGGATAATATTGTCATGGTCAGATACCATCTGATGGATTCGCATCTATTGCTCATGAGTGTTAGTAAATTGTTGTTTGCACATAATTACGGAACTTTGTACACACCTCTTTATTAAAATTTCTGACCTCTTCAATAAATTTTCTGATGTTCGAATTTGACTTGACATATTTGAGTATGACTTTTTCTCTTCGTTCATCCCACTCTGCACTATAAATTAATCCAAACCCGCCTTCTCTAATTAGTTCTCTTTTAATGAACTTATCGTGATCAAACTTATCTATCATAGAATCTTTACAAAGAAGAGAAGTAATGTGTCGTTTAATAACAAATTCTACAGATGGAAGTGTACAGACATTGTCTCCAGACTTAGGATCCTTAAATACTATATCTGCATTTATTATTATTTCCGAAGAATTTCTGCGATCAAGAGAAGTGGATTGTATAGTTGTAGAATCTTCAGAGGAGACAGAACAAAGATCCCGTATCTTATTCACAATAACTTGCACAGCTGAACTGCGCTGAACATGTACTGGAAGTAATAGCGCAGATGCTAAACGTCCTTGCACCTGGATGGGAAACACAAGTTCAATTTTTTTTCGAAAAAGATCTGAGCAAGCATCGAGTGTTTCTTTCTTTCCTACAGTTCTGCAGTACACTTTATCCTAGAAAGAAATAAATTAAAATGCAGTACAACAGTACAACAGGTTAATAAGTGACAATATATAACTGACGTACCATGTAAGTGACTATGGCCCTTATCATTTGTATACTATCAAAGTAGTCTTGCCATACGTTATCAATAATTTTATGAACATCAAAAGAAGAAATGTCCCCTGCATAAAGCGTGGAAATTATCTGCTTCTGTACTTCGTCCAATTGTTCTTCGCTCAATCCTATGACCCAGCTGTATAGTTTATCACAACTTCCCCAATCCTTTTTTTATTACAATATTATAAACAATACAGTACAATTCCTCGAAGGAACATCCATAAATGATACTCTTATCTCTCCTTAAAAACCCTTTGAAAGTGGTCACAATTAATGAGAAATCTAGAAGAAGGACATAACAATACAGTTATTATTTAGAAAGACATGGAATAAACTCATGAAATAATTATACATTACCTTCATTCTCATTCCTTTCGGGAATTGCAGATCTTTGAAATCTTCGAGAAGACATGTTACATAACAAAAATCAGCCGTTTTTTCCTTTGGTATTGCGTACGCAGAATACATACAAGAAAATGATTTATAAGGTATAGAGCATTGCGTTCCAAGGAAATAAAGTAATCAAAGTCGACCCCCTTTATAGCCATTATAAGCACGGCCAATAAACCCCTATGAATTTGGTATTGGAACAATGAAAAACAAAATTGCAATGATTCTTCTGGTGCAGAATCCAGAATTTACAGTATGTATTCAACTTTACGTCAGCACTCAGTATGTGTAACAATGATCGACTTTATTTTAAAGGAGCGTTAAATCCGTTATGAATAATTAAGCCACATATAAATATATATAAACTTGTATTTCTCATTCCTTTAATATTAATAAATGTTTTATATATGTATCCTTCAAAAATCTGAAAAGAAAAATATACTTTGACAAATCACGCTCTTTTAGTGCTTTACCAGCAATAATATCGATGAATTGCCCTTAGTTTATAAAATTTTTAATTGTAGCAGTACAACTTTGATTATTATTAAATTTTTAGAAAAAAGTTCAACTAAGGAAAGCTTACAAAGTTTATATTATTACTTAAGTTTTAAATGAAAAAGGAACTTTTGACAAATTTTTTTTATAAAATCTGTTGTTTAAAAAAATTATGTGAAAAATATTATTAAAATACATTTAAAAGTTGATCAATTAAATTGATACTACTTGAAGTTATACCATTTTTTTATATCTATAAAATAAAAAAAAAATATTCCCATATAAACGAATAGATACATCTTTTCGTCTCAAATATCTTCTCACTATTAATATCGTGTGATTGATAAAGAAAAACTAGTATATTAGTGGATTTGAAATAATTTGTCTTAATACTTTATAAATTTTAATATTAATAAAAATAATCAAATAATAATATTGTTAAGCACAGTAAATAAAATGATTGATATATATCATAAAGCTCAAAAATGTCACGAGATTACATAAGAAAATTACGTAGGGTAGTCCGTAGTCGCATTCAACCGATAAGTATTAGAGAATCAAAAGGAATAACAGCAGGGATAAACATCGTAGTATGGATAATTATTATCATTATTCGATGGGGTAGCTGCAGACTTGCAGCGATCGAATAATGATAAAATTAGTCTGCAGCTACCCCATCGAATAATGATAATTAAAGGATCCCGGCTCATATATAATAATAGAATATACGAAAAGAAGGACGTGTTGCAGGGGATAAACAAATGTATTTTCGCAGTCAATGTCATATATCGTATGGATAATTATTATCATTATTCGATGGGGTAGTTGCAGTGATCGAATAATGATAATTTAAAATTTGAGTCGGATCATCCCGGCTCATATAGAATACAGTCGACCCCCTATATAGTCACCCCCCATATAATCACAACATATAAAATTCCCCTTTATAAGCACACCATATTTTGGCCCAATGTACTAATAAATATGATATTAGAAAAACCTCCTCTATAATCACAACATATGACTTTTTTTATAATCACACCCTTTTTTTTCGGTCCCAAGGGGTGTGACTATAAAGGGGGCTGACTGTAGTACGAAAAATTTTATTTAGAAAAAGGGAAAATTTTGATAATGTAAGGTCGCTTCATTTTTATAATGAATAAATAATTTAATTTTGTGTGCGAGATATGGTTTTTGTTTTCTTTTTTTTTGTTTTTTATTTTATTTTATTTTTTTTTGCGTCTTTCTTCCGTTCTATTTATAATGTAGAAAATCTACTATAATTACCTGTATACCATATTTAGTTTTTTTTTAATTTCGAATTTAAGGAAATAAACTTGAGAATAAAAACAATAATCCGAATGCACATAACAAGATATTTCTGTAACTACCACAAAATTTAAAAACTTCTCAATTTATTCTCTTTAAAGCGAATTTGTCTCGGTATGGCAACAATTGACCTAATGTTTACTCTAACATTTGATATTTATTTGTAAAAAAAAAAGGATAACAATTATTTCTTTCAATTAAATATTGTTTTCATAAAAAGTAAATCAGTTAATTTATTACACGAATTAAACACTATTTTAATTGGTGCTGGAGTCGTAAACGGCGATCATGTTTGAAATTTTATTCTGTAAATAGGAATAATAATTAGGATAGGCTTATAGATTAAATTAGTAAACACGTACCGACATTATTAACTGATCGCGAATCGTATTATTCAAATTATCCAACTCGTAAATAAAATAATAAAAAGTTTATGTAAGATCAATTATAGAAATCCAAAAAAAAATATTCAATCAAGTCATTATCTTAACGACCATCAAAAACTATAATTAAACCCTTTCCCAATGTTTCAAAGAATACAATACATTTATCCCTTCTTTCAATTTGAGCATCAAAAAGATTTGATCGATCTTTGTGCGATATACAGTGCATAATAATGTTTCGGGAATTTGTTTATCCGTTCCTATTATGGAATATCATTGACAAGATAACATCATTTGTATTATTAAAGAAAACAATGAGCAAAAAAATATAAGGAAATTAATTAATCCCTTAAAATAGTAAACTGTTGATATATACAATAGGGTCTTTCTTTCGAAGCTAAATCTCGTTTGTTCAAATCGTGTAAAACATTGAAAATTTTTACTTTAATTGTTTATATTTAGTTTATAAAAGTATAAAATCTTATATAAACAAGTACAGTCAAAGTTCTCTATAGCGAATTTTTATATAGCAAATAATTTGCTATAATGAAGAAAAGTTCAGGTACAGATCTTAGTATTTATAATAAAATGGCTTTTAGTATAGCGAATTTCTTACTATAACAAATTTTAATCTCTGGCCCGTGGGATTCGTTATAGAGAACTTTGACTGTATAAAATATTTATTTATTTAGTTCTATACTTCTATTTCAAAATATCACTTCGATCATTTCCAATAATTAAATATTTTCTTTCAAAAAAATGTCCATTGTCTCAATTTAATAATTTATTGATGACTCAGATTAAAATTTTTCTAAATTTAGTTTATCTTTTGTTTCTTTTATTCCTTTAAATAAAGTTCTTTTAATAAAGAAAAGTGGACTGATCGTTCTAAGGTTCTAGATTTCTCATTCGTAAACAGTTGATTCATTGATTGTTTGCTTTATTCCGAATTATTTTATTAAATTATACAGTATACTATATTTATACTATATTGTAATGCAAAAAGATTATTATTGAGAAAACCAAACTCATCGGGCGAAATATTGAGTAGAAAAATTGTATACAAAATAAATTACTTTATAATAGGACCCCGCTTACTTCTAATAAAGGTCTCCGGGCAAAATTTCAGATTTACTAGTAATTTTACCAACCTTTCTTATCTCATAATTTTACCATATATATATAGTGACCTTTTAAAATTATA